GCCGGGGCGCAGCAGGCACGTGCTGTGCGCGCCCCTCGGCCCCCGGTGCGGGACCGGATTCTCTCCCGGAACGCCTTGCTCCACATCTTAGTCAAACGTGCCAGTCAGCGACGGTTTTCAAAACCCGAAGCTGGCAGCGCAAGAATGGACGCAACGTATTTCCCCCGCTCTGGCTCGCATTTTTTGTGGGTCCGGTGGGCTGGAGGGAGCGGCCTAGGCCTGCAGAGAGCACGTTCAGAGTCCTCGGGGCGTGTTGTGGGGCCCAGAGATGTCTGCCCCTGGGGTGTGATTTGGTATTACCCCACTTGGCAGCTGGCCCAGCGTCTGGGTTCCTCCTGGATCGGAACGTAGGACCCAGGAGGCCTGGAATGGTCTCGGAGACGGTGCAGTGTCTTAACAGGCCCCCTGCCCTGAGACAGGCCTTGGATCCGAGGCAGGAGGGAAGGCGGATGGTGGTAGGGGTTAGGACAAGGGTGGTTCACAGCTATTCAGGCGGGTAGGTAATGCCAGGAGTGCAGGAGCCAGGCGTTTTGGCCTCCCGCTGCAGGATGGCCGGCCATCGGGGGCGGCAGGGGCTGGGGATGATGGACAGTCAGTTGCCACATGGTGAGCCCCGTTAAGTAGCAGAATAAAAGGAGCTTGGGACTAGGGAATGAAAGCCAGACAGGTTTGGCCGTTTTATAGGCTGATACATTCATATGATAGCATAACCTTGGAAATAAAATTTGTTGTGTGCTGTATTTAATTTTGAGATTTAGCTCAGCTAATGCAGTATTTTTACAGTAAATTATGTTCTGGTGATGATATAGTTGCCCAGTAATCTAGATTTTTGTGGTGTATATTGAAATTTGTTACATGACAGTCTGTCAAGAATTTTTGTGTGTGTATGTTGAACTTTTTCTCCCTTTATAAAGAGGTATAACATACATACAGTAATATGTACAGGTTTAAGTGTGCAACTCAATGAACTTTCCCTATGTTTACACCCCTGTAACCACCCCCCAGGTCGAGATGTAGAACTTTTTCAGCAAGCTCCTCATGCCTGCTGCTAGAGAGCCCCAGTAACCTCTCTGCTGACCTCTGTCACCAGAGATTCCTTTTGCTGTTTGGATAAGTGTGTACCTTTGTGTCCGGGCTTCTTTCACTCAGCATTATGTCTGTGAAAGTCATCCATATTGTGTGTAGCAGTAGTCTGGTTTGTTGGTTGGTTTGCGTTGTCATTGCTGTGTATATCTTATTGTATGAACATCCATAATATTTACGTCCTCTGCTGTGGATGGACGTTTGGATTGTTTCCCGTTTGTAACAGTTATGAATTACACTTCTAAGAACGTTCTTTTACGAGGCTCCTGGTAGACTGAGGCACTCATTTCTCTGGGGTGTGTACCCGGGAGTGGACTTGCTAGTCCTAGGTACTTCTATGTTAGGCATTAGTAGATGCTGCTAAACGGTTTTCCAAAGTGGTTGCACCGACTTACACTTCCACCAGCAGCGTGTGAGTTCCTGTTGCTCCACATCCTCACCGGAGATGTATGTATAGTGAAACAGTTAACGCAGACTTCATGGTTTGACAGAATCTAGCATCGGACTACCTGTGTACATACTTTACATTAGAAAAATCATCTTACATTTGTCACATCAAGTCAATGAGATTTTAAAGGTAGGAAAGCTCATTATTCTTTCAGAATCAAATGCATTATTATTATTCAGATACGTACAATGGCTAGGGACAATTTGAGTTTCTTATTTTGTTCTGTTTAATCAGTGTTGATATTTTCCTTCTTTAAGTGTGTTTGTATCCTCATCATATTAAACACAAAAACCTTCAAAATAATTAAATATTGATTGCATCCCTGCAATCAGTTGTAGGTTTATTATGTCTGCTGCTGGGCTGTGAGAAGAATTTCAGTTGGGTTCCTGTTCAAAGCTGAGATGTACTCTGACCTTTGAACTCATTGGAGGACACAGAGCCAGCTGTGAAAGGACTGATAGAACTGTGTGGTCAGGCAGGCAGAGTCTGTAACACTTAGAACTTGAGCTTCCGGCTCCTGTAATTCTTCTCGCCAGCCTTTAGTGCCACCTGCAGGCTCTGAGGGTACAAACACTGGTGGTTTAATAATTACTGCCGTGCAATAGTGCTTCTTAAACTTGAGGGCCTTGGTCAGCTTTGGAACTGGGCCCCACCCCTGGAGTTTCTGATTCAGTGGGTCTGGGGTGGGGCCTGAGAATGTGCGTTTCTAACAAGTTCCCAGGTGATGCTGATGCTGCTGGTCTGGGGACACCACTAGGAACCACTGCAGTGAGACTAGCCCTTGGGAGCTGAATTGGGAGATGGGAATGGCCAGCCTCAGGTTTAGCTCTCTTTGTGGTGAGACAGAATTTACCTGGTCAGGGGAGTGCATGTCAGCAAAGGTATGAGGCCCATCTTCACAGACGTATTTATTGTTTTTCTAGCAGGTGGGAAATGAGCCCCAGTAAGTTATACATTTGAGAGGAGACTATACCCTCAGCTGAGTACCATAGCTACAGTGAAGTTGGGCTGTTAATAAAGAAAACAAAGATTCTATTGTATTTTTCAAAACTATTTGGTGGAAGCAGTCTGTACTCAGTTTTAGAAAACTTCTGGGATCTGAAGAGCTTACTCTGTATACTGAAAAGTGAGCACGTTAACCAACAGGCCAGCAGAACTTTAGAGATTTATCCATGAGACAAAAGCAAAGCCACTGAGCCTTGGGATGACACTTTTTTTCCAACATTTAATTCGTGTTATTTATCGAGTTGCCTACCATAGCATTATATCTTGAAGGATGTATTAAAAAGTACTATTTAGATCTCTCGTTTTCAATGTCTGGAGAAGTCGGATACCCCCAAAGAACAAAAGCTGGAACTTGGAAGGGACACTTGTGAGGTAGTCAGACTTGGGGCCTTGATTTTCATTGGCCGGTGGAGACAGAACTGCCTCCATGTCCTCAAGGGAAGCATTTCTTGTAGTTTGGGATGGTCTTAAATGTTTCTCCAAAATGGCTGGGGAAGACTAGCCTATTTGCAGTTTTATTTGCTGTAAAAGACCATTAACATCTCTACTTTTTGGAATATGGTAGAAGTTTCCATCCCTCTTTGCTTCCCTAAAAGTAAATGTTTAAGTCATATTTTTAATATTTTTCTCCAGCCCAAGTTTTGTGTACTTGTCAGTTCTACCAAGTTGGAGTGGACCCTAATGTGAAAGGCCAACTGGGAACAGTCACTGAGTGTAGGACAGAAGACTGTGCTGACTGCTGTTGTGGCTGAAGCCTGTTCCTTAGCTATCTCCAAGGAAATGTTAAAACATTGGGAAACCCTAATGTTGTGTGAGGAAAAAAAAGGACAGAAATGATCTCAGGTCCGTTAAAACTCATTTGGGTCCACTTAGGCTGAAAACATCCCTCAATCAGCTGCCTGATTAAAAAGCCCTCAGATCAAACTGGACTTCAGATCGCATCTTCAACTGTAGACGAGTTTTGCAATAAAGTTATTCACCTTTATTTCCTGAAAATACGTGTAAAAAAGTATTTTAGGAAGAGTTGTATTTGTTATTTATTTCTCCACAGCCAGCATAAATAATGCCTGTTTTGGGGAATAGAGGATGGGTTGCTTTCTGGGAAATAAGAATCCCAGGCCTGCCTGCCTATCTTAGATATTCCAAACATAGTAATTAGCCTTTCACGTGAGGCACCATGGTCATCACAAATAATAGTATGAGATTCGTGTCTCCAAATGGAATACAAAAATAGGTTTGAAAGCATTGTATGAATGCAAGCTTTAGAACTGTGTTCTAATTAAAGAATTAAAAAAGAAATCAAATGTAAAAGGAAAAACTAATTTTCCTATTTAATGATGGAGTAAATTTATATTAATGTTATTTCTGATTAGAGTCTGGTCGCTTTTTAATAAACCCACAAGAAACACCTCTTGTTTGAAAAAAAACTAAAAGTTTAAAATATGTGGCAAAGGAAGAATTTCTGTAGACCTAAATGACTTTTCTATTACCCTAAAAAAAACAAACAAACTTGTTTCCTCCTTTACCTAAGGGCACATGGTTAATCTTAGAAGAAAAATTTAAGCAGGTTTTTTGTTCTTTGTCAACACTGTTTGCGTGTAGGTAAGTTTTTGTTTAGAAATATACCTTGTGCGCTGAAAGCTTCCTTGCTTTCGGAAGAGTTTGTTCACCTGAGAAGAACCTGCACTTACCTTGGCCGATGATAGGAAACCTGGCCAATTCAAAGGCTGAGTTTCGACAACCTCTGAATAATGAGGCTCAGCTTCGTGGAAGGTTGGTCGTTTACTGAATGGTCCCCTGCAGGCCGTCAGCAGCGTGGGAGTCTCTGAGTTTTCCAGCACAGAGCATGTTTAACATTTTCCACACGAATCCTGAGTCTGACTTTATCTTTATGAAACATTTTTTGGTGGGAACCCGACTGACCTTTCCCCGGTGGCCTAGATCTGCTCCCCTGGCTCTCAGAGCACCTTCTGAAGTGGACAGACTTAATCATTTGCCAGTTGGTGTTATCAGGCTGTTTCCGGAGCCTGATCTTGTCCTGCTAGTAATTGTTCCCAAAGACCTGGGACGTTTATAAGTGAGAATTCATGACTCTCACATATTTATCCTCTAGGGCAGAAAAAAATTCATGAAAGGAAAGTAAGCAATGTTTATAATTTTTTATTTGAATAGCAGAATCGGGGCAGTGTGGGTTTTCCCCATATCCTCTGAGCTTTAACCATGATGTGAAGAAAAGAACTCATCAATGTTCTCTAAAGGACACTGT